TTTAATTTAGAAGAAAAAATGATATAAAAATATAATTTTCATTTTATATAAAATAATCAAATTTATATATATTTATTTAATACATATGAAGAATATAAAAGTATATGAAAAATGAAAAATAAATATATAGTATACACAAGTTTATTTTTTATAAATGCGCATGCGCATTATAAATTAGAACGTCAAATGTAATGTAAGATCGAATAATATTGTAATACTGTAATGCGAAATATCTTTCAAACAAAAATATGTATATATTGTCATATATTGTCATCGTCAAGCAATATTTTTGGTCTAATCCAATCAGTGCATAGGTTGTAAATAGTGACATCGCTGAACAGAATTAACCAAAATATACAAATATTATAATACAATAAATGTATTGTTTCTTTTATATATATGACATGTGACATATTCTCAAATGTCTTCTCCTAAAATTACTGAATATTCAGGCAATTATCAACATTTTAATGATAGTGCAAATATATCACTCGAACAAGATATTTCGCATCGATCATGTCAAAGTAAGTTTTAATTTCTTTTATTTTATCTTTTATATACATATAAAATGAAAGTTTTGTATTTTGACAACTATGTATTGCTATTGTCATTTTTTTATTAGGCATCTTTAGCTTATAATATTCATCAAATTATACTCTAACAATTAATATGCATTTTTTAATTTTTGATATAAATTATATAATAATATATTTAATTTATTAATTAAGAATATATTTGAATATATTTGAATTATTGAATGTATATACATATATAATGTTTAATATTATTATCATAATAAGAGATATTATTTATTTTATATTATTTTTTTTACCATTTAAAATTTACATATATTTTTTATATTTTTACATTATATATGTTTATTTATATTATTATACATATGTTTATTTATTTTTATTTATTTGTTATTATAGAATATGGATCTATGTTATCATGTTCTTCTACAGAAAATCATGTAAATTCTCCTATTGAAAATATAAAGACTGATCATTTTATTCATAAATTTGAAACAGATGATGTGCTCAGAGAAAATATGTCTGAAAATGCTATACTTCCATCACATGATTCATTAACAGATCATGATTTACATTGGGAAATGAATTATCATGAAGCTGCAATATTCTTAGAGGTATATATATTATCTCCTTCATATTAATAACATTATTTAGTTTAAAGTATATATAATAATTTCTGTTACACTATATAATATATTTGTAATAATTATTTTAAATATAAAATATTATTTATAAAAAATTATTTTGATAGGAAGGCAGAAATAATGAAAAGTTTGATTCTCATCCAAAACATCCAGAAGATTTACCAGCATATCTCTTAGTTCATAATAATTGGTATTATGGATTAGATTTATTAACTTCCCTTATACTTTTGATTTTAGCTCTTGCAGAAGAGCCAGCAGTACCAATGTTTCAAGTAAGTCATTGATAAGAAAATTTTTCTTTCTGTTACATTGTTTATTTATTTTAATTTTAGATACCAGTATGGATACATGGATCTATAGAACTTTTTGCTTTAATAATTATAGGCATAGAATTAGCTTTAAAGTTAAGATGGATTGGATGGTCAACCATGTTAAAACACAAACGAACAATGTTGAAGGTAAAACAATTTAATAATTTATATAAAAATTTTATAGAACTTAATTTAAGATATACAATTATATCATATAAACTTTCTCATATATTTTATATTTTGATATAATAAATTATATTTATATTTAATAATTCTTTTCTAAATGGAATATTATAAAATTGAAATACAATTTTCTTCCATTACTTTGTAATATAGTAGTTGCATATATTTCAGAATATTGATACAAAAAATATGAGGGTATTAATGAGAAGATAAGTAACATAGCAACTACAGACTATTTTAGATTACATTTTTAATGAAATGAGATAACGATAATTGTGTTAATTATTCATTTATAATATATTAATATTTTTATTAGAGGATCTTATAGAAGTATAAATAATATATTAATTTTAAAATATATAATTTTAATATTACATATCAATATTATAATATTATATATTACATATATATATATCAATGATTATATTATTTTATTTTAACTAATTATATATTACTATATTTTAATAAAAAACAAGAATATTAATATTTTCTTAATACTTTTATTTAATATAAAAATTATATATCTACTATCTAAATTATATGGATTTTATAAAAATTATTATATAATTTTTCTCAACTACTGTATTTGAATATATCTTTGAATATTTCAAAAATGTGTGCATTTAAATATTTACAAATGTTTGATTTTTTATCAATAATAATTTCTTTTTCTATTTTATTCTAAATTAAAAAAATTGTATTAATATTAAATAAAGAAAGACATATAAGAAAATATATAAAAATAAATTATTATATTAATTAAAATGATATTATTTCTTGTGGCTATATATTTTTATATATTTCTATTTCATTTTTAAATAAAATGAAAAATTTATGTAATGAAAGTTTTTTGTATGTTACAATATATAATCATAAAAACTATATTTTTACATGATTTTTACAGTGTATCACATTGGTCATCATGTTTTTAGAAGCGATGACAGTATTAGTACGACAGTCATCACACTTTCGTGTAACACGCGCTCTAAGGCCTATCTTTTTAGTAGATACTAAATGTTTTGGAGGTGTTAGAAGATTTATTAGACAAATACTTTTAACATTACCTCCAATTCTAGATATGTTAGGCTTGCTTTTATTTTTCATAACACTTTATACAGTATTGGGATATTATATGTTTTCCGAAATGAATAGAAATTTTTCTACATTACAAGATAGTTTTGTGAGTTTATTTGTTCTTCTTACTACTGCTAAGTAAGTATTATTTTATAATTAAATTTCTAATAATATTTTTAATTTATTATGCTTTTAATTATAGATTAGATTTTAATAATAATTTCGTTATTTAGTTTTCCAGATGTAATGATGCCTTCATATTCAAAAAATAAATGGTATGCTATATATTTTGTATCTTATTTATCTACAATGTTGTACGTAATGATGAATTTGATGTTAGCAGTAGTTAATGAAACATTTACGGCAGCTGAACGTGATAAATTTAAAAAATTGTTTTTACATAAAAGAAAAGCATGTCAACATGCCTTTAAATTATTAGTTTCTAAACAAAGTCCGGATAAAATGCGATTTCGTCAATTTGAAGGATTAATGCGATATTATGCTCCAAATAAAAGTATGTAATATATCTATAGAAATTTGTTAATAAAATAATATAAATTAAATATAAATTATATAATATAAATTAAATTTAATACTATATAATTTAACTATATAATTATATGAATTTTTCATAGACATAAGAGATATTGTTTTAATGTATCAACATTTAAATGCTTCTGGAAGTGGAGTTCTAAGTATTGAAGAATTTTTAAATATTTATGACACTATTATACTTCAATGGGAACCACAATATTCTACTGTGCCTTGGTATCACAGTACATCACAACCTTTGCAAATACTCTGCACAGGAGCACATGCTGCTATTAGATGGTCTTATTTTGAAACTTTGATGTGTAAGTTTAAAAAAATTATAAATTATATAATATCAATTTATAACTTATTATATTTTTTTAAAAATTATAAAAAACATTTAGACATAATGATCATTGCAAATGGTATTGCTATGATAATAAGGATACTAGAGCCAGCTAATAATGTTCATAGTACACTTTTGTTTGCTGCATCTTGGGATACTTTTCTTTTTGGAGGAAGTGAGTAAAAGTATATATTAAATAATATATGAATACATAAATATATAATATTATTTTTAAATTAATCATTTTTTATAGTATTTGTTGCTGAAGCATTGATAAAAATACTAGGACTTGGTACAAGACGATACCTTAGTTCTGGATGGAATCTTTTTGATTTGGGCACATCTATAATGACTCTTGTTGCTGCTTGTATTTTATGTCTTTTTCCCACAGCAAAATTTTTTGTTCTATTCAGACCACTTCGATTATTGAGATTATTTAAGATGAAAAAGAGATATCGAGATGTATTCGGCACGCTTGTAATTTTAACTCCATTAATGTCTTCTACTGCAGTAGTCATGCTTGTTTTATATTATTTCTTTGCGATTATTGGAATGGAATTATTTGCAGGATATAATATGCGAAATTGTTGCAAGTAAGTGTACACATGGATAGTATTTTTTTATAAATTATATTTTTGAATTAAATATTACATCATAATATCTTTGAATACAGAAACACAACAGTTGAAGATTTTTATAAATATTCGGCTAATGAAAGTACTGCATTAGGATATTATTATCTTAACACTTTTGACAATCTTATAGCTAGTGGTATGACTCTTTTTGAATTAACGGTTGTTAATAACTGGTTTATCCTAATGAATGCATATGCATTTACTGTTGGAATGTATACACGAATATATTTTATGATATTTTATTTAGTGACTATGATTGTTCTAACTATTGTAGTATCTAGTTTCTTGGAAGCATTTCGATTTAGGATACATTATAAAAAATCAACATCTAAACGTGATGGTAATTATATTATTATATTTTTAATTTATATTATATTTATATATATTAATTTATATTATAATCTCTTATAATATAAATAATTATAATATAATATAATATAAATAAACCATAATATAAAAAATTAATTTTTTTGAAATTGAATTGAAATTAAATTTTTTTTGCAATTATTATAATTTAATATTTTTCATTGAATCTTTTATTAATTTTCTATAAACATTACAGAAGAAAAAATGCTTCATGAAGAAGTAGAATTAAAATGGGATGAGTTGCAATATATAATAGAAGATTTCCAACTTCTAGAAAAATTACGGCCTTCACTAATAGTTGGTGTAAGTTTTTTTAAGTAGAATATATTTTTTTAAATATATATTATATAATATTTTTTACTATAATCATATAAAAATATTTCAGGGTACTACTGTTTTTATTGGATCACGTCCTCGAACTAGAGAAGTTTTACAAAGAAAAATGTATACTAATGAAATTACTGAATGGATTGCAGAAGCAAAACAAGCAGAAAGACAATTTTTATCAAATACTACTCATAACGTAGACGAAAATCATAGAGAAGATGCAATTTCTGAATCAGATTATATAGGATTAACAGATAATTCTCGACAAATACATCGTAATACATCAAATGTTGTATAATTGTCATAATAAATTAAATTTGCATTTATTATCATATTGCATTCGTTCACAATATATTAAAACAAGTATTAAAAATTTATAATATAAAAGTTTATATGTGTATATAATAATGAAACTTTTGACCAAAAGCATAAAGTAAAAAGAAATCGATAATATATTTAATTATAATATAAGAATAAAATTCTTTTATTTCGAATTATGTTTTGATATAATAGAAACAAATAATTTTATTAAAATTATTTATTTATTAAAAACATTATAATAATATGATCTCATTACAATAAATTTTTTTCATAAATACAGCTTCATTAAATTTGTCAATAATAAAATTAATTTTCTTCAAAATAATTATATTTATATTTAAATAATTATATATATATTATATATATATATT